AAAATCTATGCATAGCGTAATGAGGATTTAAATTAAAATATTAAATCAATGAAAAAAATCCCGATAAAGTAATTTGCCTGGGAGCCTTTGCGTTTTTTCGGTATTAGTCACATGATCATGGGCGTGGCCTGATGACGTCATCACTAGTGTTACTAATCATGAAAAAGTTAAAACACATGCAATAACTCTGAACTAACCAAAAATGATGAGGTTATATGAGAATAAATTTTCCTTAGCAACGGCTCGAAAAGATCGGTTAACCGGGGCCCTTAAAAGGCCTAGGGGAAACGTCGAACCCAAGTCGCATCGAATAAATTAAAAATAGGTGCAACAAAGAGTCGACTTAATTCCAGCTTGGTAACAAACGTCGAACCTGCGTCGATCCTATTTCACAAGTTGCACTTCATTAAAACACGGGAATAAGCACGTGTCCCCGTGCTATTCACTCGATGTGCGGTTAGTTACTGCTAGGACTTGCTAGCGAAATGCCGAAATACAGGGCTCCTCGGGCCTTACTTTGGCTATTAATTGCGAAAAATAGAAAGAGAAGACTCGTATTACATAGAGCTCTGAGAATAGTGTGTCAGTGACGACAGCTGTTGCTCCAAGTGGCATGCTTGACCGTGTTTTTGTTATAGCGAACAACAATGGAGCAGCGGTCTTGAGTAGCGGTCTTGAGCAGCGATCTTGAGCATCGGTCTTCAGCAGCGGTCTTGATGTCAGCAATAACTTTCGATAACGCGCCATTTCCGGTAGTGCAATTGTCTTTCTACAGCGCATGCTCATCAGGGGGGAAAAAGCGTTTGGCAGATGGGGGAGGTTTGCCCAGTCCATCACATTTGGATCAATTATTTTGTAATTTGCATGATAAATAAATTGAGTTCAGCCCACGTTTAGAGCGGCGTTTGCTGAAACGGCGAACCTGTGTCGCATTATCCGACTTAGCAAGTCGAACTTATGCTAGAGTCGACGAATTATGTTCGACTGAGATTCGACGTTTGCCGCAGGCCTAACCAAATTTTCTCCTTGGGTGGCACCTTGCATGGGTCCTTTGGTCTCGTTCGTGCTTGCCCCTTTGGGTATTATATCTTTTCTTTCCTTTATTATTCTTTTTTTTTCCTTAGGGTAGTTTGTTTTTACGTAATTATGTATAAGATAGTTGAAACCCAATAAAGAAATAAAGTTAATTAAAAAAATAATAAAAAATAGCCTTAATACATGTTATAATAAACTTTCCATATAACGCGTGCTCTGATTGGCTGAAAGAGCGTGCTTTATCAGAGAACAGATCGTGTAAATCGACACAAACGATGCTTGTTCCGTCGGTATGTGAGGCGACGTGCTTTTATCACCAAAAGTTGTTTTCGAACACGACTTTGAATCGCCTTGGCTTTGGGGTAACAGCTACGGGGCATTTTGACTTCCGCACAAGTCATGTGGAAAGATCATATAAATGCCTCTCATTTGCATCACTGCTCGCAAATTTTGGTCATAAGTAGGGTCAAAGGTTTGGAAAGCGCGCCGCACACCCCCACCCAATTTTTCTGGGTGTACCCCCGGGCATCACTGGTAGTATACTGTAACATGTATGTGAGCCAATTTCGGGTTTTTACCTTTGGATTACATTGCTATACAAATTAGAAACCTTAACCTTGAAAAGGGCTATTTAGTTCGATGAAACCTAAAAATGAAATCTCCAAGGAGATTTTGTTTGGTATTTTCACGAGAAGATCCCAAACAAGACGATAAACGCAAGAACTATTTCGGCGTTATAACCTCTTTAAATATTATTTTTTGTCACGATAATCCAATATCTAGAAACAACAACAACATTGAAACAGTGCCATCTTTATACGGTATGCAGTCCGTACTAGCAGCAGGGGCACCTGATTCACGACGCCACTAAAATATCCACTGGACCCTTTTTTTTTTAAAAAAAAAATCTAAAACTGTCAGATGCAAAGTTAAGTCTCATTTATATTAAGGACTTCATTTTGTACTTCCGAAAAAAAATGTCGTATTTTTTAAGAATCAAAGTAAGTCCGGCGAAAGGCTTCCAGAAGTTACTTAAGTTTGGAATATAGAAACCCTTGCAAAAATCTTGTACATGTGGCATTTCCACTAGCTCTTTTTTTATATGGAAAGTAGTAATGTTCTTAAAAAAGAGCCACCTATTAAATGGATGTCATTTAAAACGTTTTGAAGACTCTTCCTGTATGGAAATTGCTTAATTTTAAAAAGACGGCGTTCTAGAAACGCTTATGTTACAGCTTTTTACTTCATTGCTTTTTTGTGACGCCTTGTCTCTGCCTCCCTGTGGTTTCTAACCTGACGTGCGTGTTCTTCTAATGAAAGGACCTACTAATCGTAAAAATACCAATTTTATACCTTTTTGTTAAGCTGTCTTTCGCGGGGCAACTTGTCTCTACTACTTACGAGCTATGTTTCAAGCTTGGCGTCAGTTCGTTATGGCCCTACTTGTGTCATAACTCTTTTTCTTTCTTTACAATTTTCTTTTATTTTGATTAGTATGTATATTCAGGGGTTAATGTTTGGCCAGTTTTGTTCCTTTTGAGTCTGCAGCAAACTAGCTTGCGGAAATATCAGCCTTAGCCAGACTGTTAAATCACCAAGTAATTTCAAGGTCAATCTGAAAAACATCGTACTGTAAAAATATTAAACTGAACGAATTAATAAAATCGCACTAAAATTGGTGAAATCTTCAACTAGCATGTAGTGTGATGTTTTTGCTTTCCCTTTCTTTCACTTCCTTGTTGCGGGTATTGAGTTATTTAGTTTAAAAAAAAACAAAAACGAATTACATCCTTATAGTTATGTAGATTCTCCTGTTTTTCTGTATAAGCTGAAAGAACAGTATTTATTCGTTTCGCTAGTTTGTGAGGCTGTTTCTTCGGCTGAATTTAGTTAGATGAAACCAGATTAATGGAATAATTATTTCGAAGTCATAAACGCTATCGAATTCACACAAAACCACACAAACTTTTCAATTTAATCTTTACATTTTATTTGTTTGCTATGATAATCCATTAGGTTACAGTATTTTCGTCATCCGGGGTGATAATCGTCATATAACATTGTTTTAATCAGTCCTTTAATTATACTTGTTTATTTTCCTTTTTCTTCATTGTAATCGTCGGATGCTTTCCTCTCCAGTCCCCCGCATGCAACGGTTCTTTTAAGATCACGAAGATTCATTGCGCCTCTCTCAATCTGCAGCTGTAAGGAAAACAACCAAAGAATTAGGAAAATATGTTTGAGGTATTACTAGAGACACTTCGTTAACCTAAGGATCCAGTATATGTGCTAACACGTTTGGGTATTACCTTTCCGGTCTTTTTCAGATCAGGCCTAAGCTTGGAATATCCCTTTGAATATTGACTAAACTAAAACATAGTTAAAGAAAAAAAACAATCCCTCTATCTTCAGCCACTGCTTTCCCTCGGAACACTCAAAATTTATTATTTTTTTTCAATGCTATGTTACCCAGATTTAAATCAGTTGTGTTTATTAAACGTTTGGGGAAACGATAGTACGATACAAACCTTTCTTTCCAACTCTCTTTTCTTTCCTGGTAGAGGCGGGCTAAACGCGTGACTATTAGTAACGAGATTTGCGAGCAGAAAAAGAGCGGCAAGAACTAACACAGTTTGGGCCTTCATTCCTTCAATGCTTGAAAACGGCAAAAGTAGACAATCAGTATTTCGATCGACTTCTCTTAAGTTTGTATGGGTAGAGATATTTCGCTTTATTTTCTTTTCATGGAAAATTAAGCATCAAACTTCCGCTATGAAATTACCAATATGGGTACAAAAGAAGATCAGCCCTATCTAGATTACATGGTTTTAATTGTATTTTTGGGCATCAAAAACGAACATTATTCTACCTCGAATTCAAATGATCACTCTTTAAACGACAGGCTATACTGGGTAAATTCTGACATGCGCCCTAAAACACACTCGTCGTGCAACCTTCTGACAGAGACAAGTCTATACTCGAGTCCAACTTACGCCGACTTGCAACTACTTGCGAGTTCGTTTGGCCAGGGCTTCAAAATAAAGAAGCCTCATCATTAGGAAAGTGATCTTGTGCATGCAAAATCTGCTCTTTTTTTTTTTCCCAAGGAAAGTGCTTATCAATTACCGTTTGGAAACATGCCGCTTCCTTAATTAAAGGTCTAGTTTGTTAAAATCGGCACATGCGAAGGTATCATAAATCATGGAAACGTCTTCATCGGTCATTTAATTCAATAATTTAATTTAATTATGTTTTGTAGGAAAACTTGTCCTTGCTTAAGAGTAATATCATGTCCCGATCTAACTTCCTTTAAATATGGAATAATTTTGTGTTCTAAACTCAGCAAAATTAATGCTAGTGCAAAATACAGTTTCGTATCACAAATCCACTCAAATTGCATGATTATCGTGCTAATAAAATGGATGGTTAGAATTTGTACAATCGAACATTTTTAACAAGTGCCTTAGCACTGCCTAAGCTAACAAAATGTAAGGCAACAATCTGGCCGCCCGAGAAACTTGTTTATTTTTCCTTTCGCTCATTGATTACTTTTACGAGCGATGCAAGAATCGAAGTGGAAACTTGACAGATGATTTCCTGGGGAGATGTAATTTAATTCAGCGGTAAAAAAAAAGTTCTCGATCCATACAGGATTGAAACATCCTTGATCTCAGTTCTAAGTACCTGTACAATGATTCTCATCGATGAGTTTCGTCACATAACTATAGGAATAAAATTGACCCTTTTGCATGAATTCCATTGTTTTCTATATATGTAAAAAAAAAAAAGATTGAAAAATTGATTTGAAAAACCGTTTTATCGGTGTTGTTTCACGGATACCCTGACATTTAGGTATTTCAAACACTGGACTCAATACGGGAGTGATTTAGGTGATATTTGAAAATTCTTCAGGGGAACTCCAAAACAATACTGATAAAACCGGCGCCTTTTACAGCCCCACCTTATACCAAAAAAAGGTGGACAACAATTTTTTGCTTTCAGTTAATATCCAAGTGGAGAACTATAAAGCAAAGCAAAAAAGTCAGTCGATGTTTTCGAATTTTCTCCGTAGATTTATGGGGTATTCGAGTAAAACTTTATCACAGGCTTATATTTACTGCTTTTTATGTTGTTACGCTTTTCCTCTTTTCATGTACTGTCCAACTAGGAAACTGTCTCTATTTTTATGAAGATATTTTCAAGGGGATAAGATAACGAAGAAAGTCATTTAACTGTTTTTGGTCAAATAACCTCTGCAGAATAATTGTCGATCATGAGAGAAAATCCGAAGTGCACTCTGACCTTGCCGCTCTCTCAGAATTTCACATTCACCGTATCATATGAATTGCTTTTCTCCTTTACGCTCTCTCCCTTCTCCTTGCATTCTCAATTTCTACGAACCAAACAAAACGGTAAACTGCAGATATGTATGTTTCTGCGTCATAGATGTTGTCCAACTGACACAAAACCAAACAAAAATAATTACTTTTACATTCCTTGATTTTTATTTCTTTCACACGATAATCCATTAAGTTACACTTTCTGTGTGGTGATTATCTTAAAAGCAGCCCTTTAGTTTACATGGTTATTTGTCCTTTTCTTCGTTGTAATTGTCGAATTCTCTCCTCTCCATTCCTTTGCTTCTTTTCACTTCCGGGAAGTTCTTTAATTCTCTCTCAACCTGCCAGAAAAAAAAAAAGTGCAAACAGAAGAAAAACAAAATGTTCAAAAAAGGATTCAATTCCCAAGAAGACTGTTTCTCAGTGGTCCAGTTTTTCAAACATCCCTTGTTCCCCCCACGCATATAGGTACTATAGCTTCATTTCGTCTGCCATGAAAGCTAAATTAGCTGGTTAAAGAAGCCAAACATACACAATTTTAGAGAATGTTAGAGGCGTTGTTAGACACATCCCATCAACAATACAAAAACACACGTTTCTCAGTTAAACAAAACTTCTGTTTTAATATTCAGTGATGCATCACCCATGCATGCCCATAGGTTATTTTAACCAGAATAATTTTTACGCGGAAAGCTATACCAGCTGGACAGACAGGCCAAAGATGCATAAAGCCTCACAAGGTTAAATTCGTATCCTAAATAACTTTTTTAAGAGACCAAACTAGCATTCATTTGATAACCAAACAGTTCAAAACCTTTTCTTGGTGTTCCCGTTTTCGTGGTGTTCCTGGACCAATGCATTCACTCTCAGCCACCAACGTTGTGAGCATTAGAACAGCAGTAAGAAATACAACAGATTGGATCTTCATTTTTAAACAACTTGAAAACGACTGGTGTATGGACAACTCAGCAGTTACTCCAGTTGACTGCCTTAGCTTGCTTGTTTTCTCGAGCTCTTTATATTAATTATATGTGTAAGTCGGAAGAGTCAATATTACATTACCGACAACTTCTTTTACAACTCGCCGTCGGCCTTTCATTAATTAAGAAATCTTATACATGCGGCTTCTCTACTCTTCTTTGACATAGAAAGTGCTAATTAATTTTATAAAATTACCTTTACTGCGGATTTAATTTATAAACTTTTACCTTTTTTGTTTTACAACTTGTCCCCGCCTCGCCATAATCATTTTTGCAAATCTTATACCCGTGGAAAGCTCGATAATTGAAAGAAATACCAACTATAAAACCTACCTTATGGAATCATCTATTTTTTAATTTTTTTTTCCCCTAACTGGTAATTTCAGTGTAGGGCAACTGGTTTCGTCCTTGTAATTAATTTGTTTCGTTTAATGACATTTTTTTATTTAATATAAATATAATCTTGTAGAATACTTTGGCGGCCTCGTCAAAGAAACCGACTTTAACTTGAGTATTTTCGACAACTTGCTTTCTGGCTAAAATTTCAACCGAAATTCGTCATCTTTATTGTGTTAAATTACGCCAAATTACGCCAAAAGAAAAATAAAGTGAAAGCTGAACTGACTTGATTTTTACATGGTTGAGTTTTTTAATGCTTTAAGAGTGAACAACGATTTCTTAGTTGCAGACAACATTTGAAAGTGGAGTAAAACACTTATTTAAAGGTACATTTTGTACAAGCTGTAACTCCGAAAAGCAGCTAGACAAGTTAGACAAGATCATAAGATGCTGGTTGCCAAATTTTCAAACGATAGCTCAGTCTTCTCCATCCACAGAGTGCTAATTTCATCTACTGTCTTATTAACAGTGACTTTTCACATGGAAATAAACTTTTTGAAAAATACGCCTTTTGAGGAGACCAAAAGGTATAGCTTGATAAGCGATGGTTTCAGTCCAAACCTTTTCTCGCAACTCTCTCGTTCCTGGCTGAAAGAGTTCACACTCGGCGACCAACGTTGTGAGTATCACGACAGTAGTAAGAGCTACAACAGCCTGGATCTTCATCTTGAAACAACTTGAAAACGACAACAGTGGACAAGCCAGCACTTTGCTCCAGTTGAGTGTCTTAGCTTGTTAATTTTGCTTTTTCTTTATGGTGTTTTTACAATATAAATTCAATTACCGGTAATTTCTTTTCATGGGACAACTCGCCGTCTGCCTATCATTGGGAAATCTTATACATGCGGACTTCCCGGCTACTCTTTTTGGCATAGAAAGTGCTAATTAATTTTGTAAAATTACCTTTACCGTCCTTTACTGAATCTAATTTTTCAGCAATGTGAACTTATCTCTTCTTCGCTATAATCATCAGTAGAGAAATCTCATACCCGTGGATAGCTCGATCATGAAAATGAAATATTTATAATAATAATAACTACTTTATGAAAACATCTATTTTGCAAACTTTTTACTTAAGAGCCGATTCCTGTAAATACCGAGAATGAGATGACAGTCGCGAAATTTTGGATTTCTTCATATTTTGCCAAGATAACCTCTATGGTGAGTTGTTTGCGAAAATACCATTCAAAGGTCCTGAAGCGCTTTAGTTTTTTCGAAATCGAGGAAAGTCCGAAAATCGCCATTTTAGCTGCCTGCCGCCGCCGAAAATGACCGAAAAATGTGCATTTTCTTTTCGCTCGTACAGGTCAACGCGATGATATCTATCAATATACTTTGGGTAGCTCATAGTGCATGTCTTGCTGTTTCTAAAGTATTAATTTGATTAGCAAAAACTCCAAGTGT